CGATTAACAAAGCCAAAGCTTGTAGATCTGTGTATTCGGGTATAGGGTTGCTCAAAGACTTCTTCAAAGAATGGACCAACTTATTTTCATCTGCAGGTCTTGCGTGAGAAACGTCTTTCAGGATATCCGCCACCTCTTTCTCACCTGATTCTCTCATCTTGGGAATCCAAGAGCCAATTCTCTCTCTTTATAAAAGACCTTTTAACTGTTGTCATTCGGGTCTTGTGATTTTAGAGTTATAGTACATTATATAGATTCACTTTTGTTTTTCTTCGTTTTTTTTTTTTTGTTGTTGGTCTACATTGCAAATCTTCACTTTTGGTATTTTTGCTGTTCTTGGTGAACCACCAATTTTATACGTTCTGAGCCGCCGCCATGGACCGCGCTGATTTGTATGCCTCCTTCCGACATTTGTTGATTACAATTTTTGTTAGGTTGAGTGCGATGATAAAGGTCAGCATGCCTATGATGATCCACAGCTTCGCTTCATGCTGGGAGTGCATCTCCGTATGCACCTCCTGGTTTTCAATGACAGTAACCTGTTGGTCACCTATCTGCTTCACTTCTTGGTCCTTGGAGTCGCTGTTGCCCATGATGATGGTTGACTGGGGTTTGATGTATGACTATTGACTCTTTCCGATCGATGGGGATTTTTATAGCTGGCATTTTGGGTGACCGAGCTAATAAATGATGATGGCGCGATACGGTTTTGATGTTTCGACGATTTATTAAATTTTCTTAGCTAGCCCAGCTTGCTGGAAGAACAGTGTTATTTTTTCCATACTCTCCCTGTCGTCGGCCAGTGCTTCCCTTAAGCTTGTTGAAATTCCAATTGAAGTTCTTAGGTGATCGAGACCTGGGCAGTTTGCTATTATGTGTTTGACAGACAAATTGGAGTTGCAGAATTGGCATTTGGGTGGATTTTCCTTGTCTAGTATGTACTTGTGGGTGAGAAGAGTATGACCGATTCTAAGTCTGGTCATCATTACATCTTGTTTACGGTTGCCTGTCATGGACTGTTTGTAAGGAGTAATGACGTTTTTTATTTCACGTAGAGCGTTTCCGGTGGTATTAGTCCATTCTTCTTGCCATTTATTTAGGAATTTTTGTTTAATAAATGCCTTGGCGTCTTGTATGTCTATTGCACTTATTATTTCCGTAGTATTGAGGGATTTTTTGGCTTCCGTATCTGCCTTTTCATTTCCAATTATTCCAATATGGCTAGGGACCCAGCCAAAAGTTACACATGAATGATTGTGTGCTGCCTTATTATAGAGGTCGATGATTTCGTCTTTCCAGACGCTGGAGATTTTTTGTTTTTCCAGTGTTGTTATTGCGCTTAGGGAGTCCGTATAAATGATATATGCTCCGGCTGTTTCCTGTTGGACAATCCATTTCAGTGCTTCAATTATAGCGAGGCTTTCTGCTGTGTATATGCTGCTCAAGTTTCTTATTCTTTTACGTATAGTTAAGCCTGCAGTCACTACGCTGTAGCCTGTTCTGCCATCTTTTTTGGATCTATCGGTATATATTGCACGATGAAATTGGTATAGAGAACTATTCCGGGTTTTGAATGCTTGAACCAGTTCTGGGGGTTTTGCATTCTCTCTGCTTAGGTGCCAGAGGTGCTTATCTATAATAATTGGTTTTCTATTCCAGGATGCTGTTTTTGGTACCGTTAGGAACTTAATCGTGGGTAGTGTTAGGTCAATACTGTTCATCACATCAGCTGCCCTTATTTCCGGTGTGTTGGGGTCTGGGCTTCGTGATTCATTCCACATTTCTCCGGAACTGTAGCTGCTAGGATCCTCTGTGCGGGTATCGGTTTGAGGTGTGTGGGGAAAACTTTCTGGGGTTGCTCTCTTTTTGGCAAAATGTGTTACTAATCTTTGGTTGAGTAATGTTTTGAGGTTAGGGATGCCTGTCTCCGATTGAATGCTGATGATGGGACTTGTTCTGAATGCTCCACATATTACTCTTAGGCCTTCGTTATGCACTGTTTCAAGTCGTTGTATACAGGTTTTGTTGATGGATGTTATTGTTGGTGCGGCGTACAGCAACTTTTCCAATACTGTAGCTTTGTATAATTGAGTAAGTGTTTTAGTGTCACCACCCCATTTTCTGGCTGCGATGTATTTTAGAATCTGTACTCTTTGTAAACAGGATGATCTCGTTTCTTCTACATATTCTCTGAATTTTAAATGTTGATCAAAAATTACACCCAGTATTTTGTGGTGTTTTTTATGTTGAATTAATCGTCCATTCAGTATTAGGCCATCAAGGTTCGTTGGTTTTCTGCTTTTAGGGTTTCTGAAAATTATTGTTGCACTTTTTCCGCCGAAATTTGGAATCCTGTTTTCATCTCCCAGTGGTGTATTTTGTTTAATGTGGTTTGTAATAGATGTTCTGTTATTTTGGCGTTTGTACCAGTTGCTAGAAGGATGACATCATCTGCATAGATTAGTATTTTTACTCCGTCTGGGATGAAGCTGGTTATTGTGTTTATAGCAATTAAGAACAGTGTAACACTCAAGACCGATCCTTGGCATAGTCCAGTTTCCATTTCTACTTCGTCAGAGTATTGTCCATTGATTCTAACTTTGAAATGTTTTGTTTTGAGAATTTCGTGGATATAAGCCAGTAATTTTCCTCCGACCCCTTTTTGGGATAGCTCGTTCAAGACTAATCGTCTCCAGGTTGTATCATAGGCCTTTGGACATCAAGAAAACTGCTTGCGTAATCATTTTTTTGCTCATAGCCGTTCTAATGAATTCTTCGGTCATAGTTAGATGGTCCGTAGTCGATTTGCCTTTTCGAAAAGCATATTGATGTTCATACAGGTGGTTTTGGGACTCTAAGATATGGACCAGACGATTGTTTATCATCCTTTCAAAGATTTTGCCTAAGCAGCTATTTAGGTATATTGGTCTATAATTATTTGGGTTTGATCTTTCGCCCTTGCCTTTGTAAATGGGTACTACCGTTGCTGTTTTCCAAAGGGTTGGATAGTAAGCTTCGTTCCACATCCTGTTGAAGGTATTTATAAGGATCCGTTTACAGTCTGGTGGAAGGTTTTTGATCATCATGTTATGAATGTTGTCAGGTTCTGGTGATGTTCCTTTGAGGTTTTCCATTGCTGCTTCTAGTTCAGTTTGATTGAATGGTTTGTTATACTCATCAGCTGGATTTTCAGGTACGTTTAAAGGTATTTCTTCCATTTTATTTTTATATTCAATGAATTCTTTGTCATACGTTTCGTTACTAGATACAGTTTTGAAGGCCTTGGCTAGAAGGTCAGCAATTCCTTTGTTCTCGTTTGCTACCTGACCATTAAATTTGATTTGTCTGATGGTTGGTTTACTGTAATTGCCCTGTATCTTTCTGAGATTGGTCCAAATTTCTTTTATAGGGGTGCTTGCTGTGAAACTATTTGCAAATTCCTCCCATGATTGTTTTTGGGCTTTGCTGATTAGGTCTCGCGCTTCCTGTCTTCTGGTCTGAAAATTTTGTAATGCGAGTTGTCTTTCTTCTCCGAGAGTATTTTTGTTTTTTAATTTTCTGAGTGTTTTTCGTCTGGCTTTGACGGCTTTTGAAACTTCAGCATTCCACCACGGGACTCTTTTTTTACCCGGGAATCCTTTTGATTTCGGTATGGATTTGTCAGCTGCTTTAATAATTTGTTTTGTAATTTCTTCAATTTGTTCTTCTACTGTTGTTCTGCTTCTAAAAAAGACTGTATTTGTAAACTGAACCCAGTCAGCTTCGTCTATTTTCCAGTTTTGTGTGCTGCTACTGATTTCTGAGTTTGCTGGTAGGGTGATCACGAGCGGAAAATGATCACTTCCCTGTGTATCTTCGTGTACCTCGAAGTCTATTATTCCTGCTAAGTTGTTAGTACAGCTGATTAAGTCGATACATGATCCTTTCCCTGTTGCGTTATTTATATATGTATATTCTCCGTCATTTAACACTGTAAGTTCCATTTCGTCGAATACTTCTTCTAGAACTTTCCCTTTAGCGTTAATAAATTCGCTTCCCCATAAGTAGTGGTGTGCATTCATGTCTCCTAGCATGATATACGGCTTTTGTACCTTCGATAGGATTCGTACGACTTCATTTTTATCTATAACTGTGTTTGGCGGTAAGTATACGTTTATTACAGTGGCGTTAATGGGATGTTCTACTTTAACAGCAGTTATTTCCATCTGTGTGTCGATTGCTATTTCTTTGTAATCTATACCTTCTTTGATGGCAGTTATTATTCCTCCGGCTGCTCTGTTATTGGTTTGCCTTTTTCGGTGTATTACATTGTATCCTCCAATGGTTGCCAGTGCGTCAGTTTTACACATGGTTTCTTGTAAACATATTATTAGTGGTTCAATTTCATTGTTTAGCATTGTTAGCTCCTGTTTACTGGTGCGTAATCCTTGAATATTCCATGTTATGATACTTGTTTTTTTGGGTCTTTGCATTTTTTTTTGTTGAGGGGTTACCTGCTGTTTACTCTGTGTCTTGTATTAATTTGTTCGCAGTGTTGTTCATCGCTTTGATCCTCTTCTTCCGATACTTGTTGAACTTCCATGTCACTATTTTCCTCTTGTTCAATTTGTTTATCTTCTTTGCCTCGCTTACTTCCTCGTTTCCTAGGTGGGGAGGCCCCGATACTTTCATGTTGCTTGGTTTTTCGACTGCTTTTGTAGTCCCCGTAATCGGCGTATAGTTTAAGTTTTTTTTTAAGTTTTTGAATAGTCAAATCTTGGGCTTTATTTTGATCCTCGAGTTCTGCCCTTTTTTCATGCTCAGCTTGATATTGACTTTTGATCTTTTCTAACTCCATTTTGTACTCGTTCATCTGTTTTTCCATTTTTTTGAAGTGATTTTTGTATTGGTCCAACCTTTCCTTCTCTTTTTCATCTCGTTTCTTCAATTCAGCGAGAAACCATTCTTCCCTCTTCTTCAATGTATCTTCAAATTTGGTCTCCAGATTCTTCTTAAACGCTTCAGAGTAATAATTTTTTTTCCGATTTTTCCACTTTTTGTTTTGCTTCTATGTATGTTAGGTTCTGATCAACCTTGATCATCATTATGGTACTTTTCCTTTTCCATACTGGACAGCTCTTACTTGTAGGCCGGTGTTGTTGTTGTTGTTGCTCTTTGTCAGCACAATTTATGCATTGGGGAGTGTTGTCACATGAATCCCCATGGAACGATTTACTGTAGTTGTAGCACCTTTTTTCTCCTTTGCACGCTTTGCCGATGTGTCCGAATTGAAAACACTGAAAGCATCGCATTGGCCGAGGGTAAAACGGCCTAGTAGCAATTCGTACGAAGCCTACCTTAACATACTTGGGGGCATTGACACTGTTGAACGTTATGATGAACGAGTTTGTTGCACTTACCACGCCGTTGCGCTTCGTTTTAATCTGTTCTACCTTTGTCACGTTTTGATTTTTTAGCACTTCAAGAATTTCTTCTTCCGTAACTACGTAAGGGTCGCGATTCGTGATAACTTTTCTGCACGAGTTTAGTGTTCTGTGTTCGTAGATCTTAACGTTTATATCACTAGAGATAGTTTTTAGCTTAAGCAGAGCTTGAGCTTGTCTATCGTTCTTCGTCTTGATTAGACATTTACCCTCCTTTGTTCTTCTTATTTGTTCGACATTGTCACCACCGCACCAGGTTTGAATTGTTTTTTCAATGATTATAGGTGAAACCTTTTCAAGAGTTTCGCCTTCATCAACTCTTTCGATCACTAAAAACTTCCCGGAGAATCTTTGCTGACCGAGTGCTGGGAAGTCTTCCACTATGCAGCGAAACTTGCTTGGTCTGGCAAAAAAGAACGAAAAATGCACTTCGTCGGTCCACACACTTCACAAGCAATCAGCACCGATATGCAATTTGATGCTCTATAGAGCTATTTATGCATACGTCCGATCGCGGCGACTTACAAACTCGGTATGTCTCTCATCTTCATTTGTGTCGGAAATGCTAGCTCATTAAGCTGGTAGCTATTTTGAACCTCTGCAGTTTTCTTCCTCTACGTTGTTTCACAACATTCTTCGAAAGGAACAACCTTCCGTCCTACCAAACTTTTCGTATTTTCAAAAGAAGACGGCAGCAAGTTTAAAACGTTTTCCGGAAGCGTAAACGGCTTACTGAAATACTCGGCGTGACACTTGACAACCATGCACGAGCATGTTTGGTCCAGAGCTTTTGAAAAAAAGTCGCACATCGTTTTCACGGGTTTTCCGACATGTGCAGTCACATCCGGCATAATATTCACATTTATGGCATAACACTGGAGTACCTTCTCCTCATAAATTCAGTTGAATTTTGATGATCGGCTTCCACTCGGTTTGACCAGAGTGATAAGAGATCACGCTTATCAATTTCAACTTAAATTGAATCAAGAAAAAAAAACGATCATTAGCACTTGTTGTGATCGTTAGATGAATTGAAACATTTAAAAGTAATTAAGCCCTACCAGATAATTCCATTTTACTTCAAAGTCCTGCTCTCGTAGCTTCCTCTGCTGTCCGGTTTCTTTGGCAGAATTAGTCTCTCTCTTCTTCGCTTGGGCTCCGCAGTTCTTCTATCTTACATTCTTTCATATAATTTCACAATTGCTTCACGCTTGATGCAAAACAGTGATGAGCACTGTGGAAAAAAACACTTATCGACTCACAAGTTTAACTGCATTTGGCAGATTTTTTCGTTCTTGATGCTTCAGTTTTGCCTTCTGGGAAACGTTTGAAAAGAAAATGTGCAGTTCTTGAATTTGATAAGCTCTGAGAAGTGGGAAGTTTGTTTATGGAGCCGTTTACTATGGAAACGAATTTATTACGCGGTATAAAACAGTATCCCCTTGTTGTTGACATGACTTCTATAAAGCCTATCAACGGTTGTTTTGACCACAAATCTCCAGCAGACGGTCGTGGACGGACAAGTTTACCACCATTTGAAAGTTCTTTTAATTTAGTTTTAGATGCATTTGACTTCATCTCCACCTTCTTGCACCTAAGAAAGATACGCAAGTCCAAAATATGTGGAAAATAGAAGACAATTTATCAATAACTCATCCTATTAAAATGATGCAGGTATAGTATGTTGTAGAAAGATGTGTATTTAAGTATACCAATCAACTTTGTTCAACATAGTGAAGATCTAAAATTTAAGAAAATATGTGTTTTGATGAAAAACGTTTTTATGGGGGTCCGTCCTCAAAAAACGCTCTGTATCTCGATTTGAGTGAAATTTGCGACTTTCATGTCTTCAGCAAAGTTGTTTGTAACTTATTTTGCTACAACTTTGCTGAAAACATCAACCATTTATCTCGACATTGTGATGAAATAAATTTTTCATTTCACTTTTAGGGGGAATAATCACAAAACCCGTGCCTTCAAAAGATGAAGCATGTCATACTCATCAACTTTGCTGAAAACGTCATTACTCTAAATCCACTCTCCATGGTGCTATTAATTAAGAGCGTCAAAATGAACTTTTCAACCACTGTGCATCGCCTTCGTTCGTGCTCCATTATTGCATTCGATTGATCGTTAGTTACACACAAACCAAAAATTTATTACAATGAATGTTGATTCCAATTTATATCATCCTCTGTTCATGAAAATCCTCTGGTCTTTTCACATGATATTTTAACATACCAAAGTTCCACAGATGTCTAATGATGATTTATTGCATTGAAATTTTGCTCATATGCATAACCGCATATCGGGCGTTCATAAATTCCCTTATGAATTAATCTTTTAATACCGACCCTGATTGGATGATCTGCAAGACGTTTGCTTAGAATCGTATTGATAATACTTCGATATCGAAAAAAAAGCAGCCATGATCGGGATTTAATCTGAGGATAATACCGGTGAGAGCTTACCACCATAAGAAGACACTATTTTTTTTCCTTGATTTGTTTTCCATCGATCTTGTTTTCCGTGCTGAGCACCAATGCTACTGACGCCAGGAAGGCAGCTCCTACACCTGGACCCTACTTATCGACCCATCAACTCATGAACCGGGGACCAACGGCTTTACTTGCCTTCCGAAGGAAGGCGTGATCAGAGATGTTATGCCTCAGAACATCCCGACGGCGCCGACTAGAATTGAACCCAGGCCTGCTGGGGTGAGAGGTAAAGAAATCATAAAAAATATGTATTGAATATTATTTCACTAACCAAAAACTCTATCCATATTGTAGTGCAGTGGTAAGCGTGATTGCCTTTCACCCCAGCAGGCCTGAGTTCAATCCCAGTTGGCGTCGCCGGGATTTTCTGAGGCATAACATCATAACATCATAACAGGGAAGTAAGGCCGTTGGTCCCCGGTTCATGGGTTGATGGGTCGATAGGTACACTGAGGCAAATATACTTAAGAATTTCATAAGACTCGAATTATGAACGACAAATATGAATTTCTTAAGCGCGACTTATGAAAGATTTTCGTCTAACATAACGTACCTCTTATACACCATTAGCCATTCCATTTTCTTAAACATTGAAAGACGAGCTCCGTAATCTCAACGTCCATTGTTCGGTTCCAGTCTGCTCCGATTTATTATTTTTTGTCAACATTATTTTTCATAAGAAAAACAATGAAATTCATACTGATCATGTGGCTAAAATTCAGCAGCCTCCCTGGCGTCGGTAGCATTGGTGCTCAGCATGGAAAACAAATCAAGAAAAAATGTGATAGGAATATCAAAACACTGAAGAAGTTATCTTAAGGCTAAGCCCAAGTAACATTGCAGGTTTTATCGAGGTTTTATAGCATTCTACAAGTCTAAATCATGATCTACAGAACCCTCATAAAACCAAAATTGTGACTTGGGAAGTCTGTTCCATTAAAATTTGGTCGCACAAAATGGATCATTTCTCCAAGAGAAAATAACGTTCAAAAACGCTAAGGATAGAATTTTGTAGTTTTTTTTTTATTTTCAGGGGAAAATTCAAGAAAAATCATTCGTCAACTTTTTGGATAATTTTTTGTACTTTTCACTGAATACCTCCCATCATGTCTTGCACAGTAGTACTGTCAACCTTTACTGCCCTCTTTTTCCACCACTTCTCGAAATCAGATGGTGTTTTGATTGTTTTGCCACATTTTTTTAAATTTATGCTTGATAGTATCCCAAATTTTTTCGATAGGATGAAAATCTGGACAATTTTGTAAATTGGTACTTTTTTCAATAAAATTGACATTATTCTGTTTATACCATTCAATGATATCCCTGCTCTAATGGCAGCTGGCTAAGTCGGGCCAGAACTCTACGGGACCTTCGTGTGACTGAATAAAAGGTAAGATTCTCGTCTGAAGACATTCCTCCTTGTAAAGTTGTCCATTCATAGTCGCTCCAGTGATGAACACCTTTGTTTTCTTTCCACAGATGCAGACGTTTTGCCAAATCACCAACTTGCGAGCAAATTTATCAGAAAAGACAAATTTGAACTTTATTAAAGAATTCCCCTTACGTTTGGCAAGGTATCAATTTTGGACCGGAATTTGTCCAAAGTCAATTTTTACGTAAGTTTCATCGTTCATCAAAATACATCTGTTATACTTGATCTGAACTTTCTCGTACAGCTTCCTTGTACTGTTACCGTTTTGGTTCCTGTACCCTATTGGTTCACTTCGAGCGAGAAAAATCAGGAGATAGCGAGAGCGAGGAATAGGGTATATGTGTGTTCATTGTGAATTCAATCTGTATGTCAGTTTCTTGTATGCAATATTGTCTTGTTTTGAATGTAAGTAAATATGTACTCCCAAACCAACGGTCCAATTAAAAATTGTAACCCAGTCACACCAACAACACATAACACAGAACACATAACGGGAAGGCGTAAGGATGAAGGTGGGCGTTGGAAACAGGAGAAGGATATGGACAAGGGGTGGTGGAAAAGTGGGAGGGAGATGGAAATGGGCTTAGGTCAAGGGGGAAGCTACTGGGTTAAACTGAAGAGAAGATTCTCTTTCACTTCAGCCATTGCGCGAGATAGTTCAGTCTGCCAAGTTTGCTATAAGTTTTGGAAAAATTAGTGAAAAGTTACCAACAAATACCGGCTAATGCCACCGAATACGGAGTCAGGTAGGACCCAATCAATAACCCGGTAGCAGAATTCCCAGCCCTAAGACAACCTCTCATATTCCCCTCAGGACCCATTAATTACGGGCTAAAACCACGAGGGCGTCCGTTAATACGCCAACACCCGTGTAGCAAGGGTCCATCGGTTATATACCGACGACCACTGGGAGACCACCGTCGATCACCCGATCGACTTCCAGTACAACATCCGTCGTGCCACACGGTGATAACCGTCGAGTACTGGCATCCACCGTGAGCAGTCCGTTCATCCGCCGCCGAAAAACCCCACCCGCTGCAGAATCCCGTCATCGCTGGCCAGCACTACACACACATACACACTACAGACACCTAAATCGTAAGTAATAAAAGAGTAAAAGTGATAAAAAAGGTGTTTTGTTCTTTTGATCAGTGCCGACAAGCCAGGAGCCGACCTTGAAGCTCCAGGGTTTCAAGCTCGAGCTAGCCAACAAAAGAGGCGAGTGTAGCCCACCCCAGACGATCTCCGTGGCTAGACCAGAGGTTAGGGGAATCCCTTTAAACTAGCCCATCTGGCTAGCCATTAACAGTACGGCAACCAGGTTCTGTTTCAGCGTCCTGTTGGGATGTTGCTGGTATGACTGAAAACCTTTTCGCATACAGATTCGCTGAACTGTACTTATTTATTTATGGTATGGTCAACATACAACTAAAATAGGTCGCTTTGAGGCAGTATACATCTTTGAATTTTTGG